ATATAGAGAAATAATTTCAATTTTATTATATTTTTCTATTAAAATTTTTACATTTTTAGGTAATTTCTTGTAGAGGTATATAGCTTTTTTATCTTCATTTGAAAGCCCGAAATCTTAGCTTTCTAACGAACCAATATTAAACCTTTATTTATTTTGTTTTAGTGAATAAATATTTTATAATAAATAAAATGCCATCTTTCGTAGTTTCGTATTTTTGTAAATGAATTGCCACGTTTTTAATTGAAACAAAGATTTTAGGTAGTTGTCAATGGACTGCAATTTTTTTCGAAACAATTGATTCTTAAATAAATTTCTATAGAACAGAATAGAAGTTCTATTAACAGATATTCGAAATTGACGCCAACCTGTGGAATGCACTTTGTCAGATGTTCTACGGATTAGATATCGATATGATTTTTTAGGGAAAGAAGTAAAGGATGCCTGCCGAAATACCGAAATTTTTATTATAAGGATGTAGTACGTACATGTAACGGTAATTACGTAGTAATCAGGAGTTGTTTCAATGTGATTTGCAGATCTAAATAAAATAAGCAATCGTTATTGATTTTTGTCTTCTGACTCCATGCTAGCCGAAAATTGTTGGTAATTTAGGCAAGAAGTATCGCTTTAAGAATTAAATTAGTAAAAAACTAAACAATAAAACTACGAACATACGTGTACTACACGTATAAAATTTTGCCAAATCAAGACATGAATTTGTGATTTCTTTCTTATGAAGTAATTAGCGATTCTTCCATCAATTATGATTGGATATTTATTTTTGATTACGTATGGCGGTCATCAAAAAAGAATGTTACGTCAATTTTCTGTCTGAGGGAGTATATTGTCCGTAATTTGTAAAATGTATATAATTTGGTTGTGGTAAAAAGAAATCGAAGGTTTTAATCAAAACGACAATGAAAATGAGCGATCCAGCATCTACCGTAAAGTTTATCGAAGATTTGAAAGTTCCATCACCATTTGGTGCTAATGTCTCCGAATTTGTCGATTCAAAGAAGAAGCCAATGAATAGTTTCATGACATATCGTCGATCTATCGTAAAAAAGATGAATTCAAATGGATTAGTCTACGAAATGAAGGAACTCTCGAAATTGGTCTCGAAAAAATGGCGTGCTGAGCCTGATGCTGTTAAAGAGGTGTTCAAAAATTATTCTCAAGACGTTGCAACTTGTTCAAATTATTCTTTTGCTTCGAAAGCTCGTAATCAAAAATGGATTTATTATGAAGATTCTAAATTCAAAAGAAAACCATATACTTATCGCGGCAAAATCAAAACACAGAAAAGTAAAATCGAATTGATATCTGAAAAATTAATAGCTAATACGAACGAATCTATCGAAAAAAATCCTCCATCCAATGAATTTGCTAACGTAGATCCCAACAAATCCCCAGAGGTTCCTCCTCCAATCGAACCTTTATCTGAACAATTTACAATGCCTCATAGTAAGCAAACCATTGAAACATTAGCATTTGCTTATCATGATAATGATGCAAACACAACAGAACAATTGAAAATACAAAAACAGTCAAATTGTGCATCAAAATACATTTCGTATAATGAAATAATATCTTATTCTACCTTTGAAAACTGTGATTATAATGGAAATCTCACTAATTTGGAATTTATCCCATCGGTGGAAGACGCATATTTTGTTGGATTCACATATCAAGACCTCAACTTGAATGATGACTATAGAACCTACTTTTAAATTTCCAGTCCAATCTTTATTATTTATGCTCTTTACAACGTACGAACCTTTTCTTGTTTTTTTTTAACTCGCTATTATAATCGTATTTTTTTTTACCTTTCCTATTTTTAAGATTTTTAAGCTATGATTTTAACAAGATTGTTTGAGAAACTATGAAAATTTTATAGGATAATATGTATAATCTAAATATGTAAAAATAACTTACTTTGAAAAATTATGAAAAGTTTTAAACAAAAAATTCTAGCATATTTTTATTTAATATTTTTTTTAACGTTAATACTTTTGTCATCTTCAACATCAATCAAATATCTAAAAATCTTTTAAATAAATATATATACATTGGCAATCAAAAATTATGCAACAACGTTAAATTTATTAATTAAACATAGTCAAATGCGAGTTTTTCTCTTTATATAAAAGTGTTTAATTTTACTAATAAATATTTTTTATTTTTACATTAAATGAAGAGAATATCAATCTGCTCAAGTTGTTCTAATTGCATATAATGTCAATTATTTTTTTATATGTTTTAATTATAAAAAAAAATAATTGACTTTATATGCAATTAGAACAGCTTTGTCAGATTAAATCTAAAAAATCTGAAAAAAATATGTTAAAACATGTGATATTATCTTTATTTTAATGTCATAATAAAAAAATATTTATTAGTAAAATCGAAAATTTTATATAAAGAGAAAAACTCATATTTTACTATGTTTAATTAATAAATTTTGATGTTGTTGCATTATTTTTAATTGCCACTATATATAAAATAACAATTGAAAAATATAAAAATATTAATATTTATTAATAAAACTTATATAAAAGCTCCAATTTTAATTTTTGTATCAAAATAAAAATAAAAATATATATATTTTTCAGAATTTTTAGATTTAATTTAAAAAAAAATTTTCTAATTACAAAGTTAAAAAATATTTTCAGCTTGAATTTCAATATTTAATAAATATATATCCTTATAATAAATTATCAGAAATCCAAAAAAAGTATAGTAAAAAATTGAA